GTATCCTATGCACAGTTCTATTTCTTTCTTTTCAGATTTGGTTAAAAGCACTGCAGTTTGGAACAGTTTTGTGCACCATCTTGATTCAAAATTTCATCTGATAGCATCCAACCACAGGCCAAAAGCCCACTTTTCCATCATGCCCGAATGTCCAAATCAGCACATTTTGAAACCATAATGCCAAACTGGGTGAATATAACTTCAGAGACTTCCAGTTTAGAACATTTTGGTCTGCCAACATGATTCAAAATGGCACCCATATTAAAAAAATAGATAAAAATTGCCTCCTCTGTTTTGAGAACAGCCATGCTAAGTTTGGTGACAATATCTCAAGAGGCGTCTGAATGCATAGAGAACAGGTGGCAGGTGGATATTTTCCCAAACACACACACACACACACACACACACACACACACAAGACTTAGCAATTTTCATAGCACAGAAATATCATTTCATGCTACTTGTGCCGGTTCAGCCTTTGCAGCAGTCACTGCAGCGACCCCTCCGAAACATTAATTTGCTATTTAACATAAGAACTGAAACAGAATGCTTCTTTGCAGTACTAATTACACATCAGATGGCATATATCATCTACTTTAAAATGCAAACAATTATAAATTTGACTATTAATCAATAGGTTTGGGACTGTAATTTTAATGTGCTTTACTGCATAGATTATAGAGAGAAAATATTTAGATGGTTGTAAACCACATTGTGCTTTCCACGGCCAATGTTTCATGCATTGAAAAAATAAGTTATGATAATTTTTTGGATTTTTCTAGAAAATGTTAGAAACCTAATATGATGTCATTTCTTATTTACACAGTCTGTTTCAGACAAAATGCACACACTATATTTTTAGATAAAAGTTAAATGGCATTCAGTTTCAGGTTCTGATTTAGATATGAACTACTGTTTCTAGATCTGCTTCACTTGCAGAGAGATCATGTACTGAAGCACTGTCATTCCAAAACCTGGAATCCGATGACAAACCATGCCTGGTTTCACTCCAGTAATTCCACTGGACACCGCCCAGTTCTAAAGATTTATTCTACTGCAGCCAAGAGAAATTACTAGACTTTAGCTTTTGTCTAGGAAAGTGTGGATTTCTCCCACTTTTGACAGCTAGCTTTAATGCAGGGTATTTTGTTAGTCAGAAGGTTACTTGCTTAAAGTTTTCCTCCTTGTTATGATTCATCAAGACTCCATTGCACACTAGTTTCTCTCTTTCTGGATTTTTACATGACATCAATAAAGTTTATGCTATGAGAGGGACTGTATTATAAGAATTCTGTTCTGTGACATGGGCAGCCAGCTTGTGCCACAGGCAACAGGGATTTATGGTACAGGTGGACAGATCAAAGAGATGATGGTGGTGATGATGATGATGATGATAATTAACAAATTTTTACCCCCGTCCATCTGGGTTTCCCATTATATTAGCTATGCCAGGGTCGGGCCTCTTACCTACTTCTCCTGATGCCGCCTGCCTTCTTTTCTAGCTCAGTAGACTAGAAACAAAACTACAGCTATGAATCTAAGTGGATTCATATCTACACATGTGGTATGTATATACATAGAATATGGCAATTGAAGCAAAACCTTCTGTTGATCATGTGTTGGCCAGGAGATGTGGCTGACATTTGTGTCAGCATCTAGGGGATGGGACTAGCCTGTGCATTCTCAGTAACCCCTTTTTGTGTTTGGCATCCATGGAGACTGAAAGGCTGAAGAGGACTTCAAAATCAATCAGAACAGAATGATGGGCTGCTGTTGTTTTGTATCTTAGGGCTGATTCAGTTCAAGTTAGTTGCCTCAATTTTTAAAACCCAACCAGTTTTCATCACAGCACCCTGAAATGTCCACAGCAACTCACAACTTTACCAAACTTTTCTTAATCATTCTACAAAATGGCAGGCTATGGATAACTCCTATTTTACATTTTTAAGCTCTTTACATAGGACATACACTTAGCTAAGTTTTCTGGTGCTAGGTTTCAAGAGGGGTATGTGTGTGAATGTGGTTTGGAGACTTTCCTGGGCTTGACTAGTTCTGACATTGGTGGCCTTTTCTCATACTTTGGACTTGTGCCATGCTTACAACAATTCTACTTGATTAATCCTTCTTGATTAATCCTTGCAATACACACAGTGCTGCTACACACAGTGTTGCTTGGCAGAGAATAACAGTTGCCCTTCTACATGGTTCGGGTGTTGCTTTCACTGAGAACATTACTTGAGAATTGGCTCTTCTGCCCATTCAGAACTTGGGGTTGTGTGTGGGGACCCAATGGAATATTCATCTCAGCCTTGAGCAGGATGGTTGAAAGAGCATGAAAGGATCCTGTCCTCTATAACTGCAATCTGAATACAGTATAAACATATAGTGTATCAGCAAAAGTAAGTATTTTTTAATTTGCAGGAACCAGAATTTAAACTTCTGTCCAGAAGGACAAGATTTAGCTTCACACTTTGTAAGAAAGAACAAGAAGGGAAAGAAATTTTCCTGGAAGAAACAATGCTGTGCTGAGTTTCATCTGCCCTAAAGGACCTATTAGGGTCACTTTAACCCTAATTAAAATAGCCCCTCACATGGTGCTCTTAGTCTACTGACCTGCTGAATCCATAGCATCACAGCTCCTGAATGTTTCACAAAATACTAAGTGTGGTACAACAAGAAACCCCAATCATCCTTAGCTAAACTGTGGATGTGTTGTGACACAATTAGTGATTATGTAGAAGCTTTTTCTTTTTCTTTAGAACTGCTACAACTTTCAGGTTATCAGGAACACTTCCTAAGAAAGCAGAACAGCTCAATTGCTCTGTGAATTACATATTTCTTTTTCTTTTGCAAAACAAAAGGTTAAATATTACATCCAAACTGGACCAATGGGTTTATTATCATGTTTTTGAAAATCTATGAAACACAAGTTGAACAACAAAGAGGTCACAGTATGCATAAAAGTTTTTTTTTAAGGAACTTAAGTCATTTTTAAAAGCAACAACACAAAAACCACATTGTGACCAATATGCAAAAAGTAGTGATGTGAACTGCCTTTGATCTTGAGGTTTGTGTACATCTGTACACAGGAAAAATGCAAAGCATTATGTTTATATGCCATTGTGACTTGAAATGCACTTAACGTAGAATGTCTGCATATAAACTGCTTATTGGGTGATACTTAATTATGTTTTACACTGAGTGGACCCACTGGCATTAATGAACATAGCTAATTCAATAGGTCTACACTGAGTAAAACTTACTTGGATTGCTGAATTGTGTTGTTAATCTGCTTTATATACAAATTTTCTGGTTTATGTGAATTGCAGCTCACACTAATAATGTTCTTTGCCTCTAGTCATCAGTATGAGATATTACTCTTACCATACACATCCCCAGAATGGTTTACAATATCACCTTATTATCTTTGGGTTAGTCACTGCAGCACTAGCTCATTGGTTCCAGGGCAATGCCTATCAACTTTTGGGGGTGCTTGGCCCCCTCAAATATTTTATTGGTGGGGCCGAAGGGACCTCAGACTCTACGAGTTGGCTTCTATGTTTTGAAATGTATTATTATTATTTAACAAACTTTCTTTGCTTGCATCTGCATAACATACCAAAAAGAGTTTTCATAGTTGAAATATGTGAAACAGTGCAATCCAATATATACAGCAGATCCCACTGTGTTCAACTGGACTTACTCCCAGTTAAATATGCACGTGATTGCAACTTGGTTCCACTATTCTTTGACTGAACTCTCACAACAATAAATTACATATATCAGAGAAACCAATGGCATAGATTACAAAACTAAAATGAGTGGTTTAGATTCCCACCACACATTACAACACACATACATGTGATTGCACAGAGCTGACTTTAAGAAAATTTTAAGGCTCTCCATATCTACCTCCTTTGCAGTCTTTGCATCACATCACTGACATTCATCTGGCATTAGTAATTTGGAGGCTGCAATTCTAACATCAGTGATGTTTTTATTTTGCTCACAATGATGCCAAACATTTTTATTTAATAATTATTAAAAATTAAATATGTGCATCATGCCTAGATAAAAACCACAAGGACAGATGCTGATTCCCAACTAGCTAAGCTCCAGAAGCACATCTATGTGTGTAATAAAGGTAAAGGGACCCCTGACCATTAGGTTCAGTTGCAGATGACTCTGGGGTTGTGGCACTCATCTTGCTTTACTGGCCGAGGGAGCTGGCGTTTGTCTGCAGACAGCTTCTGGGTCATGTGGCCAGCATGACTAAGCTGCTTCTGGCGAACCAAAGCAGTGCTCGGAAATGCCGTTTACCTTCCCGCCAGAGAGGTACCTATTTATCTACTTGCACTTTGACGTGCTTTCGAACTGCTAGGTTGGCAGGAGCTGGGACCGAGCAACGGGAGCTCACCCCATCGTGGGGATTCGAACCGCCTACCTTCTGATCAGCAAGTTCTAGGCTCTGTGGTTTAACCCACAGCACTGCACTACCCGTGTCCCCATGTGTGTAATAGGACAGGCCTAATGCAATAATCTAAAATAAGAGCAGCAAGTGTGTGTCTATAAAACAAAGGGGGCGGCTGAATAGGACATAGCATGCTGTAGGGGAGGGATATCTTGTTCAACTGAAGGGCAACAGTCCCTCCTGCACAACCTTTGGGGTCAGGGGCATGTGGCAGTGATGGGTGGGGCCAGAGGCAAAAGTGGGTGGAGTGATGAATTCAATTTTTACCTTTGTACACACATTCACCTAGGACACTGCTCTCTATCCTCCATCCAGGGAAGCATCATCAGCGTTGAAGGATGCATTCCAGGCAGACAAAAATGCTCAGGGAGAGTTTGAAGCATGGCTAGTAGTGGCTGTGTGGCTGGAGAAGAGTTCTGAGAGAGCCAGGGAGATTGGCCTGGAGGGCTGCATTTGGCCCCTGGGGCTGAGCTTCCCCGCCACTGCTGTATGCCAAAAGACTGTGATGTGAAATAAGTGGGTTACTTACTTTTTTCATTGCAAAACTGCTGTCACCTGACATTAAGCAAAAGTCACCTAAAAGGAAAAGGAAATAATTAAGGTTGATCAGAAAAGGCTCTCTGAGTAGCTTCCAGATCACACAAAATTAACAGTCCCTGCCCTCAGGCCTACACTCTTAAAATGACATGACACAGAGAAAATTAATTGGGAGGAGGAAATACAAAAAAAGATTCAAACTGGAGAGGAGGAGACGGATGTGGCAAGTGCCAGAGAGAAAGCTCCTCCACTCCGCATTAATTCTCCTTTGCTTGCTCAAAGCTTATTCAGTGGGTAGACTATGTCTGCTTTTTATTGAACATTCGTTCTGATTTGTTTACGAGCATTCATTCTGCACTTACCCTGATCTCCTTACTGTCAGGGTATTTGCATGTTTTCCCATTCATCATCTGTTCTTCCCAAACTTTTCAATGCATTTCCTCATCATGGTCCAAACGGCGAGACGCCCATATATTTTTAAGAAGTGGATTTGTTGCACTAGGGTCACAGAGCGCTTTAATCCACCTTAATACTGCAAAACCTAAAGTTCTACCATGCACATGAATCCTTTCTATAAAACACTGATGGTCAGGGGGCACTCATAGTTTCCATGGAAGCACCTATAGGCATCCCCAGCAATTTCCCTGCACAGGTGGCCGTATAATGGCCATTCCTTAATGGTGCCATGCAGTTGACATCATTTCCACTGCGTTCCTCTGCAGTTTAGTATGGGAAGCTGTGGTGCACCTAAATCATGCCACTAAGAGGCCTGTGGTATGTCAAACTATGTGCTGAAGTTTTCAGCTCAGAAGTGCAGAGTCCTCCACTTGTATCTCCGCTTGGCAAAGGTAGCAGCAGCAGGTGGCTTGGAAGGCAGACCTCTCTCTGGCTGGGACCTCGAAGAGCTGCTGCCAGTCCGAGTGGGCAACACGGGGTGGGGGGGGCAGATGGTCAAGCCGGGCAGCATCCTCCTCTCTGCTTCATTCTGACTAGTTTTGTCGATTTAGAAGTTCGAGGAGGGAAAGACGTGCGCCTACCACCACCAGCACCCTGACACGAACACCCACCCCGTCCTGACGGCTAGGACTGCCCCGCGTCGTCTCCGGCTCTCCAGTTTCCTCCTCCCGCCCGCGCCTCCCTTCCTTCCCCTCCCCTCCTCCCCGCGCTGCCGCTTCCACTGCTGCGCCGCGCCTTTTCGCCTCCACTTCAAAGCGCCCGGGTGCCTCCACACCACAGAGCGGCGACGAGGGGCGAAGGAGGAGAAGGAAGGACCAAGTTTCTGCTCAGGGCGCTGGAACCGGGCAGACGCAGGTGCGTGTCTGCGCCTTTAAAGGGGTCGCGCGCAGGGCGGGGTGGCGGTGGGGAGAGACTGCTAGGCGCCCAAACAGAGGGGAGAGGCGGCGAGGGAAACTCCCGCCTCAAGCAGACGCCTCGTTGGGGACCCCGAGGCGGGCGACGGTCAGGGCAAGTTGCTGGAGCGACTGAGGTGAGAGAAGGGGCACTCGCTGCTTTGTCGTCCTCCAGACGTCGCCAGCTGCCGTCGGGGCAAGGAGGTGGGTCAGGGAGGCACCGTAGGCAAAAAGAGCGAGTTGGTCATACAAGTTTGCCATCTGTGCGGGGGGAGGAGTCTTGTCTTTTTTTTTTTAAAGAGCGTATTATTTGGGCTGCGTAATTAGACAAAGGATGAATGGAGCGGGGGAAGTTCCCCCAGAGGAGTAGCAATGGTTTCAACCGCTGAAGGGTTCAAGGACTGGCTCATATGAGGAAGATGCTTGTGTTGGGGAGGCAGAGGGAAATTCTCTATTCAGTTTTTCCGTCGGTCAAGCTCCAGAGAAAGACGAAGGGAAGTCAAGCCAGGAATCAAAGAGCCACAGACACATGACACGTTTTCTTTTTCTTTTTTAAGAAAAGGCAAAGTAGTTTCAAGATTCCGCGCAAGTTTAGTTTATTGGATTAGAAGCGAAATGTGCTTTTTGCTGTGGTCATGGAATGATCAACAGGTGTAAGGTTTGTCTACACAATGCTAAATCTGTAACAAGAGGAATTGGCAGGCAAGAAGTCGGAAGTAAAGAAGTGGATACCCAGTGAAAAGGATAGCTATTCCATCTCCTAAAATCCACTTACTTCTTGTCACACCTGCTCCTAAGAGGTGTTTGAAAGTTGTTTGGAGAGAGGAGGTAAAAGTACCGGCTTTCCCACTCTTCCGGAATTGTTGAATGGATCTGGGAATTCAATCTGTGTTATTGATTTTTTTTTAGTCCATTTGAGATAAAATAACAAAGGAAAAAGAACCCGGTAGCATAGATTGTAACAACAGCCCCACAATATGCCTTGTAAGAACAAGAAAAGATCTGTCTTTTACCTCTGTTTGATTAATCTAATCTTGCAAATATAAAGTGTGTTATGGTGTAACTAATTTACCTGAGGTAACTGTGGAGGTGTCTGTTACTGTGGACTGTAATAGGTCACCTTGTACCCATTAGTCATATGCATTAGCACAATGCAAAGTTGAAACATTTTTCAGGCCCATTAATTTCAGTGGGACAGAATTAAACATGTTAAGGCGGCATTTCTAAACTTCCCCTGCTAGGAAATGAGTCCACTGAACTCAATAGGACTTTTTTCTGGGTCAGTATATATAAAACAATCCTTGCTTGAAGTGCTTAACTTCAGCTACTAGACTATAGTATCATCCTTTGAAATGCTATCTAGAACAAACTTAGTTGGTCTCTAAGGTGCTACTGGACATTTTTTTTTTATTTTTTTAAATATATTTCTAACCAAACTTGGGCACTTTTATGCCCTGTTCATTTCTTTGGGAGAGTTGAGACAAGCGTAATTCTCCAATTTAAATCAGCAGAACCAATCCTTTGTATGTTTATTCAAGACTTAATCCCACCTTATCCAAGGGGTCTTGCTTGCAGATACCTGTGCTTAGCAGGAGGTTACTCAGAGGCAGTGTGTAGGCAAAGGTCCCATGTTCAACCCTTGTCATCTCCATGTCGATCAGGATGAGTGCATTGTGTCGAACCTTGGAGAACTACTGCAGTCAGTGTAGACCAGGGGTTGCTAACCTTTTTAGTCTGTGGGCAAATTGAGGTTTTTGAGGTTGTGCCGCGGGTAATACTCTGCTGGTTGCTTCTTTCCCACCTGCCCTGAATCAGCCCCCTCCTTGACATACAGAAAGAATGAGTGCATGAACACACCCATACTTTCCAGAGGGATATTGGGGGAAGTCAAGTTCGGTAGAGTTAATGTGAGCCTTGACAAGCACATAGAGCTGGAAGAGTGGTGCTCTTTCCCAATCTGAAAGAAGAGCTGGAAGAAGTAGGGAACAGTACCACACTTCCAGCTCCCTCCCTTAGCTCTATATACTTGACAAGAAAAAGGAATCATCCTCACCACCTCCGGACAAAGGGGACAGCAAGGGGCTTGGAGGCTTTGTGTGCCCACAGGAACCACATTCATGACTTCCTGTGTAGAAAATACTGAACTGCAACCTTCAGCACTTTTACCATTGCATGGCACATATTTTTTATTCTTTGTAATACCAAATTGGAGCACGAAAAAGAAGGAAGTGTATTTCTAAGTGCATGTAAAGAGCATTACATATTTGCTTATTTTTTATTTTTAAAAAGTCAAGTTATGCCCTGTTTTACTTTACAAAGAAGAACACCCAGAGCGGTGTAAATGTAATTTCTGTGGGACATGTGATGAACAGCACTTAAAAGGGCCTATAATACTTGTCTTTTACATTTCTGACAGCACATTGCCCAATCGCAATACATTTGTTTTAAAATAATGAAGATTAGGCTGCAAATAATATAGAAGGCATGGCTGGCTGAACAGGTTTTTCAGTATGTTTAGGGATAAGGTGAAAGAGTTCCTCAGTTTAATGAAATGTAATACAAGCTCAATCCTTTATGAAAGAAAAAAACCAAATGATTTACTAGCAGAATCAATCTGGGTGAAGTGCACCCAGCGAACACTTCAAAATCAGGTATTTTTAAGCACATGCTTAACTTTCCCATTGAAACCAGTGACATATTGAAATTAACTTTGGCTGGGACATGACTTTCATCCTGTCACCTTTCACCCTTTTATGATTTTGGGGAGGAATTAATGTTACTCTTCACTCTTAAATATTTTTTACTGAAAAGTGCACAGCACCATGCTCTAATTTACCAGGTTGTGTCAGATGTTGTACACTGCACTGTTGTACAAACTGCATTGTTCTAATGGCAGGTGTGATTCACACTGGTATTAAAATGGTCTCTTGTGTGGTTTTGTGTTTCATTATTTACTCTCAGTGCACTTACCTTAAATCATCCTCCCTTTCCATTTTTTCCCTCCTGTCTAATGCAGATTTTTTTGTTCGCTGGGCATGCGTTCAGTTCTGTTGTTGTACATCTGGGACTAGGGTCACTGGATGCAGGTGAAGACTTCACTATTGGGCATACTCACAGTTTTGGATCTTTGTGATGGTAGTTTATCGAACAAGCAAGAGTGGGGATAGTATATGGCAGTGCTGCAAACCAGGAAAAAGAAAGAGCCAGTGTGGTGTAGTGGTTAAGAGCGGTAGACTTGTAATCTGGGTAACCGGGTTCGCGTCTCCGCTCCTCCACATGCAGCTGCTGGGTGGCCTTGGGTGAGTCACACTTCTCTGAAGTCTCTCAGCCCCACTCACCTCACAGAGTGTTTGTTGTGGGGGAGGAAGGGAAAGGAGAATGTTAGCCGCTTTGAGACTCCTGAAGGGGAGTGAAAGGCGGGATAAATCCAAACTCCTCCTCTTCTTCTTCTTCTTCTTCTTCTTCTTCTTCTTCTATTTGTGGAATATTTTGATGTTTAAAACAAAAAAGACCAAGTGTCCTATTGTTTGGTTCGCTTGGTTGTATGTTGCTTTGGGTTGCCCTGGGCTGGATAAAGCAACTAACAAAATTAATAAATAATAATAATATTGCTTGCGAGTCTTCTTGGTGCCTTCATGCTCATGGACAAGAACACTGGAAGGGAGAAAATTGTTTATTTAATGAGCAATTACGTAGAATCTGCTTGCATACTTTATATTTTTGCAAAGTAAAATGTTACAGGCTTTTAAATACCCAGAGCTTCAAATTAAGGGAGTTTTCTTCAGTTTCCCACTTTTCACCATCGCTACAGCCCTGGCTCCTTGACTTATTCTTTGAGAAGTAGGTTAAACTTGTATAAAGTTTGCTTATATACCCTGCAAATTTTGATTTTTGAGTTCACAAGTAGTAACGAGTGTAGTAGTTACTTTCCATGGCTTCCTTGTGTCAGCTCTGCAGTTTCCCTTAATTTATTTAGCAAAACTTCCTTGATACTCAGTGGCGAGAATTTTTCTGCAAATAAGTGCCTATTATTATACTTAGTTACATTGGGTTATGTGAGCTAAAGGGTTCTGCCAAACTCAGTGGAAAAAGTGTGTAAGGGAGAAGAGAGAGTTGATGGAAGGAGTGGCACCATGCAACTTGCAAGGAGGCAATTCCAAGCATAAGAGTCAGCAAGAGAGAAGAGGTGGAGTTGTCTGAAGAAGCAGGAAACCTTTGAATGGTTGATGGCGATGGAGCTGGAGGAGTGAAAGTCGTGATCACCAATGCAGTGGAGGCTGGTCCGTTAAGGCTAATGGGACACTGCCCACTAATTTCAGTCTGCCCTCAGCCCAGCCCCCACCTGTCTGCCTTCTTACTGCCATCAGTCCAGGGTATAGCACTGCATGTGAGCTCCCTCAGCAATCTTAGTGTTACCCTTGTAGAACTCAACAGGGAGGAGCATGGGGACAAGATTAGAATTTGTTGGCTGTGCCTGTTGTTGGCTCTGGTTCCACCTACTGTTGGCCTCCCTGCCTTCTACCCTTCCAGTCCCAATGGTCACCAACCACCACTTCACCAATGCACTGCAGTATGAGAGTAGAAAGAGAAGTCGCATGGAGGAGTTTGAAAGTTAGGATGAAGCGTCTAATTATCACACGGTCAAGCTGAGTTTGATTTTGGTGACAGAGTTCTGGATAGAAGTGACGGATGTTTTGCTGAGCAATGGCAACCAAAGACCAGAGAGCAAAGGTTATAGTAGTAGCTAAGGTGAGAGCATGAACCTCAGTTTTTGCCAATAGGAAGGCCTGCCTTTTCTCAGTGTTGTAAAGAGAGAAGCATCAGGCATTGCTGGCTGACTAGATATAGGAACAAAATAAAATAAAATTCCTTCCTGTAGCATCCTAGAGACCAACTAAGTTAGTTATTGGTATGCGCTTTCGTGTGCATGCACACTTCTTCAGATACACTGAAACAGAAGTC